CGCGCGCGCGCGCGCGCGCTAAGAGACCGCCTCCAGACCTTCGCTCTCCCACGTAAGTACGGCATTCTTGAACTCATTCTCAATCGTTGCCCTGCGCGTGTCGTCGCGAATGGTGAATTTGGCCCCAAAATGATTGGGAAAGCTGACAAAGCCGTCGGTGTATCGTTCATCGTGCGGATCCGCGCGGATCTCGTCTGCTCCGTCTGCACGGGCAATGTCAAAGGCCCAGAGGATGCGGGTGATGGCCAGGTACAGACTCTTTTCGGCCATGTGAATGCCTGCGCAAATGCGCCGCCCATGGCCGTAGGCAAAGTGGTCCCTCTCCTTGACGTTGCGTTTTCCTGCATACTCGGCCGCCGTGCCCGGGTGCGAGAGATGGAAACGCTCCGGGTCGTACACTTCTGGATTGGCGAAACGCTTGGGATCATGCGACATGGCGTAGATGTTGTCGATGACCATGGCGTCTTTTGGAATGTGAAAGCCATTGTACACATCGTCCTGCACCACCGCGTGGGGAACACCCATGACCGTTGGAGGTCTCCATCGCAGCGTCTCTTTGATGCATGCCCGTACGTATGGCAGATGCTCCTCATCCTCCAGCGTTGGTAGACGATCCGAGCCGACCACGCGATCCAGCTCGGCGTGGGCCTTGGCAAGTACGTGTGGATTGAGAATCATTGCCAGGCATGCGCTCGCGATTGTGCTGGCTGTAGTGTCCGAGCCAGCTTCGAGCAGAGCACAAGCCGCATACCCAATGTCGAGGTCTGTCAATTGCGCCTCTTTTCTCTCCTCTTCCGTTTCCAGCGCGGCCCCTTCGCGCAAAAGATCGCCGATGAAGCACTCGCGAGCTGTGCCATCCATGACCTCCTTTTTGCATCGGTCCAACAATCTGCCCCACGTCTTCCACTCTTGTTCGTGCAGCTCTTTCGCCTCCTTCACCCAAGGCTGCAGAGCGGTGGGTAATTTGCGCAGGATGGGTAGCGCATCGACCAGGTACGCGCCCGGTTGACATTTGAGGGATAGCGTATCCATCGCCTCGAATATCTCCACAATCGTGGGGTCGCAAGAGCTGACGAAGCGATGGCCGTAGCAGAGCGTCATGATGCTAGAAGAGCTGAAGCGCTTGAAACTGTCGAAAAAGTGCCACGTGTTGGACACGCCGCGTTGCTTGGAAGCGAGAATCTGTTTGGGCGAGCCACCGTCCATGAGCTCCTTGAGCATCTGGCGGGATTCTAGCTCCTGCGATGTGCCTTGCGTGGACATTGCTGTGGGCGCTAGGAGGCGGTGCATGATCTTGCGCGCCTTGCGCCACTCATCGCCGTACGGATGAAAGACCATGCGCTTGCTCTTGGACATGAGATTGTAGCCAAAGTAAGGAGGCGCGCGCGAGCTGTAGATGGAACCCTTGGCGTCTAGCAGGTCTTTTGCCGCCTGGTCGGAATTGATGACTACAATGTCTTGACTAAATACGCGGAGCGACATGACGGGGCCGTAGCGAGAAGCCCAGTCTTTGAATTGCACGACGGGGTGCTTATTGTCGATTTGCAAAGCGTTGCCGAAAAAAGGGATGCGTTTGGGACCTGGCGCAGCAGGCAAGCTGCCTTGGCTCTTGAATGCGGACTGCGAAACGATCAAGATGGTGGCGCCTACGAGCGCAACCGCGGCCCACATGGGTAGCGGTAGGCTGAGCGGCTCGGCGTGGGATGTGTCGAGCACGGTCTTGACCGCCGACGAGTTGCCGTCGACAAAAGGGTGCAAGGCTGACGGTGCAGAGGCGGCTGCGGCTGCAACGGCTGCAACATTTTGGATCACGGCTCTTGCGCTAGACATTGTGTGAGACGTCTTGGAGAAGATTACCGTGCGGGAGGCAGGAGGGAGCGGGTCGGTTGCGTGGAGGTGCCCCAGCTCTCAAGACTGCGTGTTGGTGCTGAGGGGGCGCGACAAGATCGGGACGAGGTGCTTGACGTGCGAGCTGACGGTGGATGTGAGTGGATGGAACCGTTAAAGACACGAGCATTGCATCAGGGGGAGCAAATGGCGGCATCTCAGCATGTGTCTATATATGTATGGAGCAATGTCGTCGACGGCACCTCGCGCCGCCCGCGGGCGAGACCGCTCGAACCGCATCGACCGGCGGACTGGCTCGAGTGCCGTTGCGCAAGCCCGGCTTGGGGGAGATGACGATGGGGGGCGCGCAGCGCACACGTCCCGTAGATTGTGCTCGCCATTCAGACGGCTCGTGCACGCTGTTGAACATGCAGCGCAGGTCGACGGCGCACAGGCGGGTGGTGGGGGGGTGCGGGCGTTGGAGATGCAAGCGGCGAGGATGGCAGGGAGGGGCGTCTGCGCGGGCTAGCAATGTCGCGACACACTCCGATTGCGGATCCATCACCTCGCATCGCATCACATTCCATCCCATCCCATCCCATCCCATCACTGCCGCAGTCGCGCTCGAATTGGCGCAGCGCTACACGTCGGCGTTGGCATCCGCCTCCCACTCCGTGCAAGGATATTCTGGGACTTTTGCGTTCCGAGAATCATGGTCCTGCATCACGAGCGCCGCGGGATGCGAGAAGGCGGGGCGTGGTGCGCAAAAGGCACGGTGGTGGTTGCGGACGCGGACGCGGACGCGTGTCGTTGTGGGCGTTCATGGCGACGGGGGCCACGAATTCGGCGCGTACAAATTCTCTGTGCAAAGACGCGCGGGCGTTCCTGAAAGGCGTGCGTGCGTGCGTGCGTGCGGGCGGGCGGGCATTCATTTTCCTTGCCCGCGGCGAGCGCGGATGAGAGATTCGCGCGTGATTCGTGATTGAAACGTCATGCATGCTGCACGTAGTGCATGTGCGCGCGTCGGAGCGCAGCGTGATCGAGTGGCGCGGTGTAATGTTTGATTAAAGGGCCCTTGCGGCTGTGTGTACATGAATGGATGCATCTGAAATTGCCCGCGGATAGTGAGAGATAACAATGACTCTAGTTTGTAGTAGTAGTAGTAGTAGTAGTAGTAGTAGTAGTAGTAGTAGTAGTAGTAGTAGTAGTAGTATATTTGTTTAACGTCGCTAGTTCATCGTGCGCCACTGTTTTGAAAATCGTGCCGCAACCTGCTCCGGCGAGATTATGCACGCCAAACGGGTTTGCAAACTACGATTGACACCTCGACTTCCGGGACAGACATGCTTGACTGAAGTGACCCCCCACTGGATGTTCACTGGCAGGCCTTGCACCGCGGACATGATTGTTGCCGAAATCTGCATGCAGCTCGACTGGCATCACCACACAGCGTACTCCACTGGTGGCAACGCAGCAAAGCAAAGGGGGGATGCCATCATCACCGCGCGCGCGCCCACGCCCACGCAGCACTTTCTCTTGTTGCTCGTGCGCGCGCATCGCGAGTGGTCTCGAGTGCGCACGTGACGGAGGCGTGCCTGTGCCTGTATGCGCGTGTGCAACTTATGGCGCACAGATGTTATCGATGCTCATGACTATCTGTCACATGCATGCAAGCAGTCACGAGTCGGGTCACGTAGTAGTGAAACACCATCATCTCCGTGTCAAAGTGCGCCTGCCTATACGCTCGCTAACCCACGCACGCACGCCCCCGGCATCTCTCTCTCTCTCTCTCTCTCTCCGACATGCTGCGCTGCCAATCAAACATGTTTGAAGGATGCACTCGGTCGGACGAGCTGTGCTGCGTCATCCCGCTGCTGGCCCCACGCCCACGCCCACGCGGCACGCCCACGCGGTATAAAAAGTGATGCCATATCCGGCGCGCTCATATGTTCCTTGACGCTCATCAAGACTTGACATCTTGCCAGATTGCACAGGACACGTGATAGAACAACTGCACCTCTGCGTCCGCACTCACACTCACGCTCACGCTCCACACTCCCGAGCAAATCCTTCTTGACGCACGCACGCACGCACGCACGCACGCACGCTCCCCCCGCCGCTCAACAGCACAAAATGCCAGTCGCCGTTGCAGAACGACAAGCGCTCATCACCGATGTCAGGCCTACCAAACTGCAAAGGCTGCGCCAGAGCGATGCAAAAGCGCAAGCACAAGCACAAGCGCAAGCTCCAGCTCTGGCATCCGCCCGCGACACGGACATGGACATTGCATTCCAGCAATGCTTGGATTCCAAAGTGCACATTGGCACGTCCACCACCACCACCACGCTGCCCGCGCAATACATTGCCTCTTCTGTCATCGGCCAACTTCCTGCCAGCGCGTACTTGCTTGTCACCGACACCAACGTAGCAAAGTTGCATCTCTCCCCGCTCCAAGCCGCTTTCCGCAGCACGCTGACTTCTTCGCGGCGCGCACAGCTGCTCTCCTACGTCATGCCCAGCGGCGAGGCGACCAAGACGCGCAAGACAAAGGAGGACCTGGAAGACTGGATGCTGGCCTCTGGCTTGACGCGCGATACAGTCATTGTCGCCATCGGCGGCGGTGTAGTGGGTGATCTGGTGGGCTTTGTAGCTGCGACCTTTATGCGCTCAGTTCATCTGTGCCACGTGCCCACCACGCTGCTCGCCATGGTCGACAGTTCCATCGGGGGCAAGGTGGCGGTGGATACGCCGCTGGGAAAGAATATGATCGGCGCATTTCACCCCGCCAAGCACATTTACGTCTTTCCACAATTCCTCGCTACACTGCCTGCCCGCGAGATTGCCAATGGTATGGCAGAGGTCATCAAGACTGCCGCCATTCGCGACGCTGACCTGTTCCACGAGATTGCCGCATCTGCGTCCGACGTCTGGCAAGCCTTTGACGATATGCGCGGCAATGCCTCGAGCGCAGAGACAGAGACGGACATTTTACGACGAGCGCAGCTGCTGCGACGCTTCATCGCATCCTCCATCCACATCAAATCCTCCATCGTCAATGCTGATGCGCAAGAAACGACGGGACTGCGCAACCTCGTCAACTTTGGACACTCCATCGGTCACGCGCTCGAGAGCCTGCTGGTGAGCAGCACGTGACGCCGCGTGCAAAAGGTTTCAGATTCGCGATTGCATCTGACTCTGACTCTGACTCTTCCCCGCACCCGCACCCGCACCCGCACCCGCAGTTGCCCGAGGCGCTTCACGGCGAGGCGATCGCTGTGGGCATGATGCTCGAAGCGCGCATCGCTGTGGCTCAACATCATCTCTCCATCAGCGAATTGGGCGCCTTGTCGAGCTGCCTGAAAGCGTACAGATTGCCAGTGCAAATCTCAGACTTTGCACATCACCCCAACGCCAGCAAGCTCTGCATCAGCAAATTATTGCAACGCATGTCCATCGACAAGAAGAACGCTGGCTCCATCAAGAAGCTCGTTCTGCTCAACTCTCTGGGCAGCACGCTGGAGCAGCGCGCTTCGAGCGTCTCGGATGCAGACATTGCTTCAGCCATGTCGTCTGCTGCTTTGGTGCAGCCGCCCACCGCACCCGCTCCTCCAGCTGCCGTGCACATCGTCCCGCCCGGCAGCAAGAGCATCTCCAATCGCGTATTGCTCCTCGCCGCCCTTTCCACCTCGACGCAAGGACAAGGATGCTGCATTAGGAACCTGCTGCACTCGGATGATACGCGCGTCATGATCGACTCGTTGCGCTCGCTCCGCGCTGCCGACATTGAAATCGACGCGGATGGCGTTCATGTGCACGGCCACGCAGGTCTCCTCTCAGCCCCCGACAAGGAACTCTACGTGCAGAACGCTGGCACGGCTGCTCGATTCCTCACAGCCGCTTGTCTTCTCGCAGCACCCACCGCCTCAGCCTCGTCCACTACACTCACAGGCAACGAGCGCATGCAGAAGCGTCCCATTGCCGATCTCGTCACAGCATTGAACGCTGCAGGAGCGGGAATCACCTCCAAAGTCTCCGGTCGAGACGGCTTTCTACCCCTCGACATTCCTGCTCGCGGCTTCTTTCCCACAGGCGCCGACGGACACATACGCTTGTCGGCCGAGACCAGCTCGCAGTACGTGTCAGCCGTGCTGATGTGTGCGCCGCTCGCCGCTCCTAGTTTGGCAGGTCAACAATTCGTGACGCTGGAACTCGTCGGCGATCATGTCATTTCGCAGTCGTACATCGACCTTACCATTGCGCTCATGGCAGACTTTGGCATCCACGTGCAACGTGCCCGCACCATCTCCGGAGAGCTTCAGCATCTCTACCGCATTCCGCTTGGCGCCTACCACGCACCCGCAGAGTATGCCGTCGAGAGCGATGCGAGCTCGGCGACATACCCGCTCGCCCTTGCAGCGTTGCAGGGCACGGAATGTGTCATTCCAACTTTGGGCTCCAGCTCGGCACAAGGCGATGCAGCCTTTGCCATGCTCTTGCGCGACATGGGATGCACCGTGGAGCAGACCAGCAACGCTACACGCGTGCGTGGCCCGCCAGGTGCGCCTGCATCGCTCCGACAACTCGGCACGGTGGACATGGAGCCTCTGACCGATGCCTTTCTCACCGCTGCGGTACTTTTCGCCTGCGCAACCACGCCTGGCGTGAGTGGGCAGACCAGCACGCGTATCACCGGCATCTCCAATCAGCGAGTCAAGGAATGCAACAGAATTCAGGCAATGATGGACCAATTGGCTCGATTCGGCGTCAAGTCGATGGAGCATGAGGATGGTCTCGAGATTTTCCCTAGCTCGCTGGAGCAAATGACCACCTACGCCGCGGGTCAAATTCCTTCCATTCACTGTTACGACGACCATCGCGTGGCCATGGCTCTGAGCCTGCTCGGGGCCGTGTCGCCCACGGGATGCATCCTAGAGGATCGTCATTGCACTGCCAAGACATGGCCAACGTGGTTCGACAATCTGCGCGACACGCTGGGAGCTCGGGTTGGTGCGACGGACGATGTCCTTGTGCCGTCGCACCGTACCGCCGCGTCCGATCAAGCGGCTCAGGCGATCCATGAAGCGCCGATCGCCAGTCGCGCCGTGGCCACTCTGTCCGTCGGCTCTACACCCACCATTGTGTTGATTGGCATGCGCGGATCGGGCAAGACGCACATCGGCCGGATCGCGGCCATGGAACTAGGGCGCACGCTAGTCGACGCCGACGAGCAATTCGAGTTGCGATACGGAGACCTGTCCACCTTTGTAAAGCAGCGCGGTTGGCCGGCTTTCCGTCGGGCCGAGCTGGAGCTTTTGCGCTCCCTCTTGATCGAGCACGCCGACAATGCCGTTCTTTCTTTGGGCGGCGGCATCGTCGAGACACCCGAGGCACGCACCCTGTTGCAAGAATATGGAGCGAACATGGGTCCAGTCGTCTGGATCAGAAGGCATCTGTTCAACCTTTTCAACTTCCTAGAGACTGCCGGCCGCCCTGCTTATGGCGAAGCGGCAGAGAATGTCTTTCGCCGACGCGAGCCTCACTTTGCTGCCTGCTCCACGTACGAGTTCAGCAACCCCATCGACGTGCCAAACAGCGCATTGCCGCTCGCGGATCAGGTGTCCAATTTCTTTGGCATCATCACCCAGCAAAAGCCCCGAGACGTTGGGCCTCTCAGCTTTGCCAAAAGGACATTTATGCTGTCGTACAACGCTCCGAGCATTTCGACGCACTTGTCCGATCTGTGCGACGTCGCTGCTGGTGTAGACGCCGTTGAGCTACGCGTCGACTGCCTCTCATCCACGAGCGTTGACAATGTGGCGCGCGAATTGGCGCTTTTGCGCAGCGTCATTGATCTTCCGATCATCTACACTGTCCGAAGCGTCGCGCAGGGCGGGCATTATCCCGATGACGACTTGGCGGGATACGCACGGCTGATCTTGCTTGCGCTTCGCAGCGGCTGCGACTATGTGGATGTAGAGATGCGTTTGACGGAACAGCAGCTGTCAGAAATCTGTGCGGCCAAAGGCTGTAGCCGTATCATCGCCTCTTGGCACGATCCACGAGGCGAGCTAGCGTGGGGCCATGGAGGCGAAGCTTCGCCCATGATGGAAAAGTATCACCTTGGAGCAAAGTATGGCGACGTCGTCAAGCTGATTGGGCTGGCGAGGACGCTGAATGATAACCACGCGCTCAAAGAGTTCAGAGAAGCGGTGCTAAAGCCTGGAAACAAGCCTCTACTAGCGGTCAACATGTCGCCGGCCGGCCAGCTGAGTCGCATCCTCAACCCCGTGCTCAATCCCGTCACGCACCCCAAGCTCGGCCAAGCCGCACCCGGTCAGCTCAGCTATGCTCAGATCCAGACAGGTCTGCACTTGCTCGGCATGAATCCGGGCAAAAAGTTTCACATCTTTGGCAATCCCGTGAGCAAGAGCCTGAGCCCCGCTATTCACAATGCAGTCTTCAAGCAGCTTGGCACAGCCCACGCGTATGCTCGATGCGAATCGGTGCAGGCTACCGACGAGGCAGTGCTCAACCGGCTGGCGGCAAAGGACTTTGGCGGAGCCAGTGTAACCATCCCGCACAAGGTGTCCATGATGGCGCTGTGTCATTCCATCAGCCCCGAAGCAGAGGCGATCGGAGCCATCAACACCATCTTGCCCCGTCCTGCGCCGCCGGATGCAGCTGCTGGCGGCGGCGGACTCTGTCTGTATGGCGACAATACCGACTGGCGGGCGATAAGCTCTGCAGTACAAGGTCGCCTATCGCCCGGCTCATTCGACGCGCTCGTCCTCGGCGCAGGAGGCACAGCGCGCGGCGCCATCTATGCACTGCACCGTGCGGGTGCGAAGCGCATCTTGCTGCACAATCGTACACGAGCGACGGCTCAACGCGTGGTGGATGCGTGCCCGTTGACGTGGAACGTGTTGTTTGTGGAGACGCTGCAGGAGGTGACGCAATGCTATGCGCCAAGAGTCGTCGTCTCTACAACGCCACCGGAAGGCAGCGCGCTGCCCCACGAAGAGGGCGTCGCACCGCCCGGCACCACTGTACTTTCTGCGGACCTGCTCAAGCTGCGCGACACCACAGAGCGGGGCGTCGCTATCGACATGGCCTACACTGGCGTGCGATCAACGCTGCAAGAGCTTGTGCGTACCTCGGCATGGGCGGATCGCTGGACATTCGTGTCCGGTCTAGACATGCTGCTGGCCCAGGCAGAGCATCAGTCGCGCTTGTTCACCGCAAGAGCCTCCATTCCGAAGCGCGCTATGCGAAATGCGGCAGAAAAGGCGCTCCACGAGCAGCGCACGTCGCCATCGCTGCGCCCGGCCGCTGGGCACATTCCGGCCTTTCGCCCCGAGCTGTTGCGACCTGTCGCTACTCAAGCGCCCGGTGCGACCACAGGCGCGCGCTCGGACATTGCCGCACCGCATTATCCCGATTTCAGAAAGATGGATCTGCGAGCAAGCTCCAGCTCGCCCGCACCATCGGCGCTGGATCCCGTGACGCCTTTTCGTCCAGAGCTGCTGCGGCCTGTGGCCACTCAAGCAGTCGGCACCGCCGCCTCTGCTGGGCCACGCGTGGATATTGCCGCACCACATTATCCCGACTTTAGGCAAGTGAAGCTGCAATCCAGCTCCAGCTCGCCCGCACCATCGGCGCTGGATCCCGTGACGCCTTTTCGTCCAGAGCTGT